ATATCTCTCCAGTACATTAACACTGTGGAAGATGGTGAGGAATAAGTAATTAAAGGGGAATACTTACTTTTGTTATTTTTCTTCGTTTTTACAACCTTTTTTTGTCTCCTTAAATATCATTGCTTATACAACTCCCCCTTGATCTCATCTGATTATAAATTTCTTACCATTCGAATCCTTTATTTTACAATGCCTAGGAAACACAGATTAGTAAAAAGAGTTGATCAAATAATTTCAATAATTATATATATCTTAGAGATCAACTTTCTTTAGGCTAATGAATATGAAACCCACCATAAAATAAATTAACTGAGACAGAAATTTGTTGTACTTTTTAACATGAATATGTATATTAAAAAAAGTATACACAAAAGAACTAACTAAAAACGCTTTAATTTACAAACAAATTGATTATTCTAAATAATTTATAGAACCTCTTCTACGTCTCCATTGTCTGTTGGCTTTGCTTCAGATGCAGATCCACTCATCATTTGGGTAATTGTTTTGGAAAACTCTTCCATTCTTGCTTTGATAGCTTCTGGCTGAGCACTCATTGCTTCACCCCTTAAATATCCCTCTTCCTCATCGCACTTTGCCCTCATCTGAGTTTTAATTTCTTCACTGATTTGAGCAGAATCAATCTTGTCCTGGAATTCATAGAGCAAACTTTCGAATTGATTCTTGGCTGCAACTCTCTTTGAGAAAATTTCATCTGCCTTGGCATGTTCTGCAGCAAGATTTTTCATCCTTTCAATATCCTCATCAGTGAGCTTATCTGTCATATTCTGTACGAATATCTCTGACATTCCAGATTTCTTATCAACAGCTGTAACTTTAAGGATGTTGTTCTGATCAACTTCAATAGTTACCTCAATTTGAGGCTCTCCTTTTCTTGCTGGTGCAATATTGTTCAATGTAAAGGAACCCACGTGATAATTATCTGAGGATTGTGGCCTGTTACCCTGGGTTATAACAATTGAAACACTCGTTTGATTATCTGCTGCTGTTGTGAAAACCTGAGAGTTCTTGGCTGGAATAGCCGTTCTAGCTTCAATAATCGGTGTAGCTACACCCCCATAGGTTTCAATATTTAGATTCAATGGAACATTATCCACCAACAACAACTTTGGACCTTCATTATCATCAGAACTTGGACAGCAAGCATTGGCAAAATATCCTGCTCCATATGCAATAGACTCATCTGGATTCAATATAGAAACTACTTTCTTGTTAGATGAATCTGCAGTTTCTCCAAAGAACGATTCCAGGACTGATTTAACTTTTGGAATTCTGCTAGAACCACCAACCATAATCACACGATCAATCTCTGATTTAGCCTGCTCAATAACTGCATTGAAATCTTTTGTGGAATTGTTTGCTCTCTTTGTTGCATCATAATCAAGCTTACCATCATCCGTGTAAACTGGGGTGATCTTAGAGTAAGAAAGAAGAACTCCCTTACATTTCTCTAACAATCTATCAAACAATGACTTAGAAGCTCTTTCAAATCTACTTCTGGTCACCTCAAAATTAATTCCCTTTTCTCCCCTGTAACAGCTCAAATTAAATGTAGCAGTGGTTCCAGATGAAAGTTGAGACTTGATCTTGATAGCCTCCTGTCTCAATCTAATATCGTTTTTCTTATCATTTAACTCTTGTTCCTTTGTCATCTTAGTGTTTGCTACTTCTTCTGGATAGGCTTTCTTGAATTCATTTCTGGCCATTTCTATAATAATATTGTCAAAATCTCCACCACCCAAATAGTTATCTCCATCGGTTGCTTTTACCTCTCCAACGGGATTGTTCTTATCGTAGTTAAATTCCAAAATTGAAACATCATAAGTACCACCACCTAAATCAAATACAAGAATCCTCTCCTCATCCCCATCTTTGACCTGATTGTTCTTGATCATCTTTGAACCATAGGCCATAGCAGCAGCTGTTGGTTCAGCCAACAGAACTGTCTGAACATCAAGTGGCTTGCCATTAGAATCAACTTCATTAGAGAATGCGATTTTGGAAGCTCCAAGAGTTCTCTGCTTTGCACCATCATGGAAATATGCTGGGACTGTAATAACAATATATGTGGGGAATCCATTTAAACGCTCCTTTGCAGAATTCGCCAAGTACTTCAGAACAGCTGCTGATATTTGAATTGGTTCATAAATTGTTTCTTTACCATCAACTGTTATTACAATACCTATGTTATCCTCAACCTTTTCTTTTGCGATATCCGTTGAAGACGCCTTAATCTCCTTCAGTTTGAATGGCCAATACTTCATGGACTTCTGAATATCTGAATGGTAGTAACCCTTACCAAACATTCTCTTCGCTTCATATACAAGATTCTCTGGATTCGTGAGTGCGGAAATAAGTGCCTTATCACCAACAAAATATGGTCTGTTATTGTCTGCCGTGGTCTTATTATAGCAAACAACAGAGGGTGTTATTCTCCCACCATCTTCATTTTCTATAATGGTCAGTTCACCATTCACCATACCAGCCATACAACTCATAGTGGTTCCTAAATCAATACCAAGTGTAATAGTTTTCCTTTGAGTCGACATGGGCGAAAAAGTCTGAAAAATTTTATAGAAAAAATATTCTAGAAAAAAAATTGTTGAAAATTCTAGAAAAATTGTTGAAGTCTTAGAAATTGGATCTACAAGCTTATGAGTATATGGTACTTGAACTGCTCCATAAAACCAAAGCCTAAAGTTGGTTAGCTATGCTGTATAAATAGAGACTGAATTTTCCTACACAATTCATCTCGTTTTAAACATATGAGTATTTAAGGTAATAACAGACATTGCTCATCTTATGTAAGCCTTATAAGCTGGTATTATGATATGGATAATAACTTGGCTATTGAATTAACCATGAAAAGAACAATTCTCAGTGAGACCAGACAATACTACAACATATGGATCTATTTATGGAAAGCTTCAGTGATACTGTGCACTATTCTACCCAGATATGGATACCTCATATTTTTATACCCTCATTTTATGCCTGTTTTTGCAATTATCGATATGGATAATTTTACGCAGTCCATTACTAAAGAAGCATACGAATTGTCTCAGTTTGGTTTTTTTGTACGTGGCTCTATAAAAAGTGTTATCAGAGCAATGGTTTTAGAAATTTGCAAGGGAATAAAACCGGATAGTAAGATCACTGAAATTCATGAAATTTTAAACGAACAAACAAAGGTAAAAATATTTACAAAACAAAATAGCAAGAAAAGAGTTATAATTATAACAGATGGAGAATATAGCAGTGCAGTAGCATTCAAACTAACCAATATATGTATCACCCACCATGACTTAAGCGAGACTTCTAATTACAATATGGACTATGAGACACTAATTAAAGAGTACAAAGAATGGGAAGATAAAGATCTGACGGATAAAATAAATAAAGAACTGGCAAAATGCAACACTGTTGTCGTTGAAGGGCTGTCTGCAATTTTGGAGAGAGGAGAGACATTATCTGATCTTGTTGCAAAGAGTGAAAGCCTAAATACACAAACAAAAATGCTTTTTAAGGCTGCAAAGAAGAGGAACAAATGCTGTTAACTGGTAATGTCGAAGAATAACAGTGTCTTCAACCTATCCAGCTAAAATTAATAAATAGATTTTGAGTGATTTGTAATTCAGACATGATATACCCGAAATCATCATTGAGAATTGTTTATTGTAATGTAGCGAATGATAAATTAAAAAACGTTTTATAAAATTAATAAATCATTAATTAACTAAGGTTTATTAAATGTTTTGGAACTGATTCAAGGAAGACAATACAATTGCAGTTTCATTAAATAAACATTTCGAATTTAACAATAATAAGAAATGATTCTATAGAAACCAGTAAACCCCATGATCAAATATGCTGGGAAAATCACCAAGACTAATTACATTAAAGCATAGCTATCCCAGATTATTATACCATCTCGACATAACTAGAAAATTCAACCATTTATTTTTCCTTGAATGATAGATAAAAAGGAGTTTTATGGAACATAAAAACATAACCGTTTATATTTAGTATTCTCTTATAAATTTAATATTATAAGAGATTATTTACAAAACCATCAATTTCGTTTCGAAAATCTGAATGTGTGCCGTTATTTTCGTGCTACTAATTTTAGGCATCTTATTTCTCGAGCAGTTCGAGATATATCAAAGTCTTCATAGAAAGAAATAATATCCTCCACAGACATTTCATCAGATTGGTGGTTATAGGCTGAAATTATTGAGGCCAAATCTGATTCATTAGTATAGGTAGAGCTTGTAAAACTCTTTGGCATGGTGTTATTAATATTGCTGGAGCAAACAATTGTGCTTGAACTATATTTGCCATTATTTGATTTCGAAGAAAATATATTGAATGTTTCTTCCAACTTGCTATCTCTTTTGCTAGACAATAGAGACTTATCAGATTTCGATGTGAAATTTCTCTTAAACTGATCTATTTCTGAAACTGATTTAGAAATATTTTGTGTTTTCTTTGAGCATATAGAATCTGGAATAAATAAGTCTGGCACACTGCATACCTGCCCATTTAAGAATTGTGAATATTCTTTTTGACACAGAGATATGCTATTATCCGATGGAAAGGAATCTGTTTTGGACAAGAGTGTAGTGTTCAAACTGTCATCTTTGGATAGAATGGGCTCAGATAGAGTGCCTCCAATTTGAGTAAATATATTGTGGTCAAATAAATGATCAACACTATATGTATTGATATTGGAATGTTTGTAGTCATAGAAATTATTATCAGTCTGGCTATATCCATTCTCATGTGGCTTATTACCAAGCCTCGACCTCACAAAGATTTTCTTTCTAATACCTCCTTGTTTAACACCCTTTGGCCTAGCAATCTCATCTATTAACTTGCAATCATTCCTACACTTAAAACTGATCTTCTTTCTTCTCAACCCTTTACTCTTTCTTTGAATACATTTGTCATCAGAATCTATTTCTTCTCTAGGAGCTACACTTTTAAGATATCTTAAAACTTTCTGTTTAACAGGAGTATTTAGCTGAACCTTGTTATCGTTCAATTCTGTATGAGAGTTTTCATCCTTAGGATACATAACATTGTTCTCAACAATAGAATAAGCAGTGTTCCCTAATTGTGGATTAATGCAGATTTTATCCTGTGAACCTTCATCCCGCTCAACTTTAAACCTGTCCATAGCCATTTCACACATTTTGTCGTTAATTTCAAAAGAAGATACTCCATGAGACACCTTGAATATCGATTCTGAATTGTATAAATAAACTTCATCAATTCCTTCAACAAACTTCATGTTTGGTATTGATTGGCAATACACCCTCAAACCAGTCTCCAGCTGGAACACAGATAAAAAGTAGTCTGACAGGCAGTATACATATGGCCCAAATATTTTAAAATAGCTTCCCACACTCTCCCAATTAAATGAAATGTGGGTATATTTATATCTACCGGTAGAATCAATGTAGAATCCCAAGCCATTAAAGCAGAGCAGAAAGGTGTCCTCATCCACCTTAAAAATGGCTCTAGCCTGTAAGTTCTCTATATGTCCACAAAATGTAGACGTATATGGGTCGTACACTTCCAGCAAATCCTGTGTCCTTAATGAATCAATATCTACAACTTCAAAATCTTTACAGGCTATAATTATTCGACCTCTCAGGTAATTTATAGAATAAATATCATACCCCACATACAACTTTCTAAACAATTTGATTTCATTTTTCTTATCATCAGATTCTATAGTCAGGAGGTATATCAGTGAGAAGTTATAATCTCCTTTATTGGTCAGTGACACATATGTAGAGTTCTGGCATTTACCAATAAAAAATCTGCCAACATCCAGATTAATCGACTTGCTCTTGAGCTCGACAGTTTCACTATTCAGCTCAGCAATGTGCAGCTTATGCTTCACTTGAAAGTAGAACAGCTGGTTTTCCTCATCATACATTATATTCTTCGCCTTGAGATCGGATATTTTAGTAGTTCCAGATTTATACTTCTTATAAATCCCAGAGTCGGTCGAGAATATTATCACTCCTGGCTCTAAAGAGTATTCAAGATTGGGTAAATCAAACGAGAGATTACTGATGAATAATCCATCCGTTGAGAAATATGAATCCCAACAGGATTTTGTGTTGTCTACTTCGGAGGATGAAATTGAAGATTCCACATCTTGATCATATTCACTATCTCTATTTTGTAATTTATTCCTATAAAAGCTTTCGAAAATACCTTTAAAATTGTGAAACTTTCCGGTATCTTTGTTCAATGTAGTCTTACCTGTTAGTATCTTTCCCTCTTCATTTTTGATAATTTTGTTTTTTATCATAAAGATACTTTCCCAGTCACCTTCAGACTCATAAGAAGATGAAGCCTCTTCAATGTCTGATGTGGTTATAAAAGCACACTTTCTGTTAAAATTTAACTTACCTCTGGATGGAATAATATTATCTGGAATAGCTTCTCCATTTTGTGTAAAATATTTCGGTAAATTATTATCGTCATTGTCAACACTATCATTTGTGGTATTATCGGATATACTTTGTTGATCGGGGTCAGTGGAGGACTGATCAATACCCTTAACAATGTAAACACTTCTCAATGTTTCATTTCCATCATATTCTCCTATATTCTGTATTTGGAAAGCAGTCCCATCTTCTTTGCTTTCATTCGCCCTTATTGCTGACTTCAGCAACTTGTAATAATGATCTCTCGTAATGGCATCTTCAAAGTATATTCCACGAATGGTCAGTATCTCCTTCTGCACCAAGTATATTGGAAAGTAGTTGCTCAGATTATCTGCTTTGTCGAAGAATTCAAACCTTTTCTTAATAATTTTCACCTTTGACAAAAATATTGGAGGTGTGTTGATATACACATCATCAAATTGATTTTCTATCGTGTTACATATCAAAACAAACTTTCTAAACAGATAAACCTGCTTATACGAAGCTGGCTCAATAACAGACTTTTTAACAATCAACTTTGATGCCTTCAATATCTGTGTGTCCTTAAACATCAAACCCAACGAGAATTTGTTGTCCAAACTATTCTTGTATTTCAACCTCTCAATGTATGTATACACTGTAAATAACTCCGATCGCTCTTTATATATATCATCTATCCTGTGGATAATCTCTTTCAATTTTTCAATACATTCCAAATAAGCATTTTTAAACTCCTGATTTTCTTCATTTTTGGCTATAGCTCTTAACAGTAGTGGATACCTTGCTATCTTACTCGATGGTCTATAAAAGAAATTGTTTGTCCCCAAGTTATTCACATTCTTACGAAGCAAAAAACTATTAACCTGTTCTGCAAATCTAGAGTGAGTATGCATCAGCTTTTCAAACTCATACACAGATTTGGGCAAATTTTTTACATATTCTTCGTATATCTTGAATTCACCAAGCATTTCAAGAAACACACTGGCATATTCTAGTCTGTCTGTATCCATAGATCCATCCTTCTTTATAACAAATTCATCCTCCAGTGAAATATTCAAATCAATGTTTCCACCGGTCGCGGCAATGGACTCTTGAATTACTTCCAAGTTTTTGGCCCTTAGCTTACTGAATATTCTAGTATGTAGATGCCTTAAGGATTCCATATTAATAAAAACTGCATCGTTCAAGGTATACTTCTTTTTTGTTGACAAATTTGTCATATTCAGAATGGCTCTTCTAAAGTCAACTTCCCATAGTTCTAGGTCATCACAATATAATTTCTCGCTTTCAAATATTTCACATATGGCCTCAATTCTCTTCTTAGCCTTACTCATCTAATTAAAGGAAATGGCACAAATTTGTATATAAAAGGGGTTTCCAAAAGGATGATTCCTTAAGAAATTACTGGTCGATAACCATCAGTGACGTCAAAAATTTAGGAGATGGGTGATTAATTAAATTTTCAAAATACACAACATCACCAATTCTGCTAATAATATGAAATCCTTGGCTTTTCAGGCGAATCAATGGTTAAGTAAACGATGGCTATAACAGATCTGTGAAACAGTAAAATATCCTATAATCAACATCGACTCTTATGGAAAGATTCAAGGCATTTATTGTCAAATAACACAGATAGAGGGTATCTGCCACTACTACTTATTTAATCGTGCAGCTTCTGGATCTTCTTCCCATACTGCAGTATCTAATGGGCACACATTCTTTGTGTTGAGCCATTTGTCTATACAATGCTTATGGAATGCATGGCCACACTTTCCCCAGCACACATGGCATTTTGATTGCTGAGATTCATTCTGGCACTCAATGCACATGTCCATAATGTGGTTTCTGCAGATTGCACTGGAATCCACCTGTAAATCCAGTGACCAAGTAGCCACCAAATCCCAAGAAAGCAGTTTAATTTCGGGAAGTTCAGACATAGGGAAGGGCTGGAAATATATTTTATAAACAAATAGTTCGGATTACTTTCCACAAATTAAAATTGTAACACAATTTATTATGCTACTCAACCTTTTTTGGAAATTATACTGGGCTTGTGTGGATATATTACAAATTGATTTTATAGCCACTCTTACCAACCTTCAGTATAATCCCCTTGTAATTTAGCACATCAATCATTTCTTTAGGTGACTTTTTCATCTTTTCTATAATTATTCTTTCTAATTCATCAACTCCAATTGTATTTCGACTATTTTCAACAATAAAATCCTTCAACAACTCCTCAATATTAGCCTTCGTATTCGTCTTATTCTCTTCTTTTATCAGTACCTCTCTGTAAAGCTTTATAGCAAATTGTGCATGCTCTTCAGATGCTACTGATTTCAATTCCATCTTTGCAACTGCTTCGGTTAGCCTAATTAGAGATTCTAAATTTCTTATCGAAATCCCCGTATTTTTCCTAATTTCTAAATAATAGTCCATTATTTTATTCTTGGCTGCTTTGCTTAGGATGGGGTTTATGGAGCTTCTGGCATATTCGATGTACTTGTGTAGAGTTTCTGGATTTATCTCCCTATTGTTTATTTTAAATAAATTTTTGGCTGAATGTCTGGAGTTTTGAATAAGGTTGGCTAAACGAGAATTGCTTTTGGAACAGTCACTGTTACTACTACAATCATATGACAATAACCTTTTCTTTAGTATTTGATTTGAAATCTCATAATTCTCCTTTGCACTCAAATCGTCCTTCAGAATGTATATCAGATCGAATCTGGAAAGAAGTGCTGAATCAAACCGTAGATTATCCCGAATGGATTTGCTAGAATCAAAATGTCCTGATTTTGGATTGGATGCTGCAATTATCGTTGTTCTGGTGGGTACTGAGCAAATCACTCCCCCTTTGGCTACTGTTACACACTGATCCTCCATTGCTTCAAACAAGGCAGTATGGTCATTAATCTTGTCAAATTCATCAATGCAGCAAATTCCCCCATCTGAAATAACCAATGCCCCAGCATCTGCCATATATTCTCCATTGGCTGGATCATGAGTGATAGATATGGTCAAGCCTACTGTGGTCGTTGAATTTCCAGAAATATAGGTTGATTTGGGAATAATTCCAACAGAACTAAGTAGCATTTTTGACTTTCCTAATCCTGGATCTCCCACAATCAAAACATGAATTTCTGATCTGCAGTGGGACTGGCCAACAACCTTTCTGGTTCCACCAAATAACGATAGAATTAATCCCACCTTGATAATATCATTGCCATAAATATTTTTGTAAAGATTATTCACAAAAAGCCCTAGTAGATTAAGTTCCTCTGAAATCTGCTTCAGCATATTGAACTCTGATGTTACTGTATATGGCATTACTAAGGAGTTTATAAATTGGGTATGCGAATTAGAAGAAATTGGAGTGTCATTGGCACTTTTGTCGGTATAAATCATACTCTGGTTACAATAACTCTTTTCTGAATGCATATTATTACATTCTATTCTTAATTGGTAATGCCCATCTATTAATTCTGCCTTGACAATTCCTATCACACTTATTACATCCCCAGGAGTGCATACTCCTACAAAGCTGCCAAATAGATCCACATCCACTGTCCTGGGCTTATCTGTTGAATGCAATTCCTGCAGTTTAATTTCTTGCCTATCGACAGATTTCATTTCCGAATGGTTATTTATGAAAATAAGCTGTTTATTTCTACAAGTACAGGAGCTGGGGACCTTATAAATGTTATTTGTAAGAATCTGTTTGGTAATTCGGTTGCATTTTGTACATTCGAAAAATATTTCCAGATTTTCGATCTTTTTGTAGCCAACTCTGCAAACCGTGCCTTTAATACAAATCATTGATCCTACAATGTCAATACTAATACTCCCAAAAGGAAAGTAAATGGAATTGAAAGGATTTGAACCATGTGTAGTAGAATCATTGCCAGTATCTGCATCGCCCTTATTAACACTGTTCATGTAATTCACTATTCGAGTTTCTATTTGAATATACTCTTTGTATACTGAATAGAATATTTCGCTGACTGCACAATTTATACATTTAATGCTTTGATACCTCAAGTAGAATGAATACTCACAGAAGAATATTCCAGAATTCTTAGACTCCTTAACATCTGCCAATTTTAAATTAGAAAGAATCTCAATAATCAACTGTATTTCTCTGTTGAAAATAGTATATTCCTCAGCTGGAAAATATAACTCCCAAGTTTTTATTTCTGTTGGAATCATGGAGCATAAAACATAAAAAATATTTTGGAATTTAGTAAATGAAATTTATTTGAGAGAAAGCAAAATTACTTTAATTATTAGCTGTAATTTGTAGTATGGTAATCTGGCTCGTAGTTTGAATATAAAAAATATATCTTTAGGTATCGAGAGATTCTTAATGATCAGCATACTGAAGTGCTAAGTTGTATAAAGCAAACCATTCGATAAAGAACAGGATGATATGCCTCCAACATCATCCCTATGCCTGTTTGCACAATTACTGTTTTCATTTTTACATCCCTTCTGAAATGTCATCTCTTTCGGAATTCACAAATTCCCTAAAGACCAAAATGAATACTCCAGAGTATCTGCTGCAGTCAAATTTCCTACTAGATAGCCCAGTGAAAATTTACAGAGGGGATATTGTGGAGATTAAAAAGATATCGAAGGCAATCTATAAAATTACAGTCATTAAGAGAGAAATTCACATTGAAAGCAGTATGAATAAGTTGTATAATACCAGTTATAATTGTAGAACTATCTCTGATGGTTCAGAACATTCTGAAAGCACCCCTAATGAGCCTTGCTGGATGTTTAATTTAATAAAACCAACAGGAAATGCCCCTAATCTAGTACTTAAACCAAATTGTGTCTCTTTCAATTCAACAGAGGATATATTCATATCCATTTCCTTCAATTTGTCTTTGTCCCTCGAAACAGACTCATTCGGAATTATTGAGATGAGAAGATGCTATGATGGAATATTCTATGATTTGATAATTCATGAAATTGAGTAGAATGTTGCCAATGTACTATTAATGGCTCCAGCCAAAATGTTTTATCCATTCATCTAAGATATGCAAGTTGTATACATCCAAGCTTACAAATATAATGGTTAAATAGAACTTTTAACCATATGTGTTATTCTAATTTGCCACAACTCTACATTCATATGATTGTTGATAATATTTCACAATTCGCTATACTACTTAAATATTGATTATTTTTTACAAAATTTTCCCCATATTTTATGAAGACTTTCACAACTCTTGACATTATCAAATACATTCTTATTTCAACGGTTGGAACAGGTGTGTTGCTTGGAATTCAGGAAATGTCTAGCATTTCAAAATCACCAGCATGTATCAACTTGGCTCTTCTGGTTGCATCAGTACTAGTATATATCTTTTCTCAATGTTATGCTGAGCTTGCCAGAATTATACCTTCTGGTGGAGCTGATCCAGTCTATATCAGTGAGGGTATTTCACCATTTTTGGGAAATAGTTACTTTTGTATGTTATGTGTTCTTGTGGTACCTGGATGCTGTGCTGTATTTGTTCCCAGACTCCTAGAATCTTTAAGCCTACTAAATCAGGATAAGGCCATAGATTTCATGGTGGGTTCTGTTAAACTGGATCTTGTATACTTTACATTCTTTATATTTCCACTGACAGGTCTTATTCCCAACTCTTTCCGGAAGAAATTTATGACTCTGCTGTCAATTCTACAGGTGGCTTCTCTATCTATGATAGGCCTGATAATTCCGCTGTCATACTTTTACAATTCAGAAATCTCTTCAATAAGAGAGTGTTATCTGCTTCAACATTCATCCGACTCCTTCAATATTGGAGAGTTATTAAATAATGTGGTAGTGGCCTTTTTCTTCTTTATGGGATTTAATGAATGTAATAGATTGCCGTTGGAAGTGGTTGGTGATCTGTCGACTCCCTATAAATACACTAGTATTATTCTTGCATTGATTTACATCTACTTTATAAATGGCTTCATGTTAAGCTCAACAAACTCAGTGAAATCTGATTTGTCTCAATTGACAGATGTGATATTCCAGCATGGATTGTCTAGGCCAATCTCAATAATCTTGAAGTCTTTAGTCTATGTAATGCCAATTTTTGGGATTATGTTTATGTTCTCAAATGTTATTGAATTGATTCTGTCGAAGTATGAAAACTATAGAAAATCTCAAAGCAAGAGAGAAACCAATAGCATCGAAAAAGTCAATATATCTTCTGATACCTCTCTATACTATTATAAACCATTGCTTTATTTGGCTTTGGGGACATTAAGCTCCATTTTCCATTTCCTTCAAAATGCACAAGCCATTCTAATAGGAATATCTGGATTTATGCTGCTGGTTATTTTCCTTTCATTTGTATCTCAATTAGTACTTAGAAAGCGCCTTCCTCAAAAAGATCAGATTTCTATACTCTTCCCGATATTTTCGACACTTTCTAGTTTTGTGATAGCAATGCACGGGATGTACTCTTCATGCAGTCATATAGCTCAACAGTTCGGAAAGGATAAGTAATGGCTGGATTTACAAGTATACAAAAATGTGGAATTTGTAGATAACTTTTCATACAATAAAGATAAGTAATATATTGGTTTGTTTTGTTACTAAATGTATGTGTTTGTAGTTGTAATAATCTAGATGTTATTAATTTCTTTAAAATCTCAAAAAATCATCAGTAAGTTGAATCTATAACTAAAAGATTATTTTAATCACTCACCTAAAACACCAACAGAACTATTATCAAATTCGGTATATACATCTTTATTTTACCTATGTTATCCTCTTTCATCGATGTTCTACTTTATCATACTAAAATGATCCATTTATTTTCATGCATTTCCTACACAATTTATTTATTCTAAAAATTTAAGCCCATGCAAAGTTATAACAGCTCCACAAATTATTCATCAAACAACATAAAAAATAGTTCTGAAATCAAAAAAACGGGATTTAGCATCAGATCTGCTCTCATGGGGGATCTTCCCGATGATGAGCCGCTCTTAAAAGAGCTAGGAATTGACTTTGAGCTCATAAAGAAAGAAAGTACTCTCCCATTATGTATGTTTTCAAATAGTATGGACTATATGATGAATGATCTTACTGGGCCCATATTATTCCTAATTTCCTTTACAGTGTTTATGATCATTTGCGGTAAGCTACATTATGGATATATTTATACAATTACCCTCTGCTCCTCACTCTTCTTGTATTTTTTACTGAAGATGGTGTCATCAAGTACTGTAAAAATGGTGGAAGTTTGCTCCATAGTTGGGTATTCATTTTCACCGGTTCTCTTCTTTGCATTTATACACATCTTCCTGTACTTTTCAAGGGTGCCATTTTCTATTCGATTCTGCCTTGGAATTGTGGCAGCTGCATGGAGCTGCTTTGTCTCTACAAATGTGTTGTGTCTAAGGATGAATCTCTATGACAAGTCCATAATTATAGGATATCCGTTGTTGTTGACATATCTGTGCTATACATTTATGGTGGTTTATTGAGACGGGTAATCAACATTTTTGGAATACAGTTATATAAATGTTTAAATTTATTCTTTTACACCAGAGTTTTTGTTAACGAGTATATTCAACAGTCATACAAGACATCAGGCCGACGGACCACTTGATTATATGCCAAGTAGTTGCTATCAACTTAAATGACGATATTTCTTAATTATCTATGCTTAAAAATAATATGTTTCATTAACGTCTCCATGGGGCAGTTTTATTCACTTTCATATTTGGCATCTTTTTGTAGAGTCTTCTTATAGCCTCATCAATATGTGATGGCAAGAGTGGCCCCAGGTTAACCCTCTCTAAATTTCGATTGCCATCTATCTGTCCAATCTCCTGTCTTTGAACCTCTTTGGCCTCAGACACCAATTCCCCCACAAATACTTTGCAAAGCCCACTCACACCAATTACAATATTGGGATTAACTGCCTGCCCAATAACTTGATTTATATATTTCTTAATGCTCCCACGGGTGAAGTTCGTATTACGAAATGCCCCATATCGTCTTTGATCTTCAATGGGCATGGAGGAGATTATCTTGTGGAGTGAGTGATCGTTCTTAACTTTATAGACTTCTTCTTCGGAATATAAACTAGTATTTTCATCGGAAGAATCAGAGGAGTCGGTCATTAAAGGGGTTTGGGGAAAGATTGAAATAAATGAGACTGAGATGTGAAGAAAAAATAGACACGATTTGATTTGTAGGAGCATAATGTACTCATCAGAAATGCTTACTTTCATCATAGATGGCCTCTTGATAATCAAGGAGTGTATTCTTCCTAATACCATCATGATACAATAAACAATTCAAATACAGCTCTAATCACAAGAAGATCATAAAAATTTACCATTTTATTCAAAATGAATGTGCTGATTGAGGCTATACAAGAATATTCATACAATTCTGTTGTAGAAATACTGTTTTTTCCAAATAAATGACTTTTTACTATTTAGTATATGACCATATTAAGAACCATGGTGTATCAGAAGAAATTCCAATTAATCCAAGTGTGGATAAAATAGTTCCACATGCCAAGGCTGTACTAATGAAACAATAAATAGAAATATAGGAGACAGATATATCACTTCTAAATTGAGCTCATTGATCTTTTGCTTCCAGATATTCTTCACTCTCACTCGAACTTACATTCAACTTTTCAGGTTCTTTACTTACATTCAACTTTTTAGGTTCTTTACTTTTACTCAAACTTATATCATCCATCAGTTTTCCAAAAACTTTTTTTTGGCCATGACCAGCTTAAAAATCCTTTGCTTTTAGGAGGGTTGACCTTGACTAACTTTGAATCAGCCATGTTAAATTCAAACCTCACCCTTAAAGCACAACACTTTACTGTTGTAGGAATGTTATTATTCTCCGATTCTGCACTCTTAGCAGCATATTTAACAAGTTTTATAAATTCAACTTTATCTTTAAAAACATCATTATCTTCTATGTACTTGATTGTTTGAATATTAATATTAATACCCGATTTACTCCAGAACACCTTATCTATTTTTTTGATCTCATTGGTTTTTAAATTAAGTAGTGCAAAAGAATCGTTATTATAGATTAAAACATATAAATGATTCAATACATCGGAATAGAAACGACCAAATATGTTGGAGATTGTCAATATGTCTCCAAACTCATTTGTTATTAGATAGAGATTGGTCTGGTTTTGGATATTAAACTTAACAATTCGACTTAGATTGAAATCAAACATTTTACCCAGAATAGCTTCAATAAATGTTGAACAATTCTTCCTACATTGTTCACAAATAAACAGTACCCCTGGATCTGAACCAAGTGTTGGTTTGAGTTTTTTCATAAAAAAACAATTTCCAACAATTTCATAACTCTTTAAATCTATATTATTGTGATACTTTTCCCCAGAGTTCTCAATGGTTACGCTTACCAGATTTTTTTCATTGGCATGGAAATCACAGCAAGGACCATAGCTTAAATTATGCGAAATCAAAACCAAACGATATGCATAAAACTTAGCACTGTTATTCATAAGATTGAATGGTAAGCATTCTGTTTCGACAAAATATTCTTTTTTTCTTGTGGTTGTGATGTTTTGAGGGGCTATGGCTGTCTCAAGTTTTACCAGTATGGGCGATTCAACTAAAGTTGGTTTTATATAATACATAATAAATGTACCTTCTGATGTTACTTTAGGCTCTAAGTCAGCCTTTATTGGTCTTGTACAATACTCAATAAATGTACCTTCTGCTGCTACATTAGGCTCTGGTTTAACTACATTTGATTTTATACAATACTTAATAAATGTACCTTCTGCTGCTACATTAGGCTCTAATTTAACTAAAGTTGGTTTTATACAATCTCCAAATACTTCCCGCGTAGGAATATGCTTTAGTTTTTGAGGTATTAACATTTTCAACCGTTTCTTTGGAGAGTATTTGTTATTTAGAGCTGTAACATTAGTTGTACAAATTTCAAACTTTTCATAAAATTGATTCCAAGGAATAATGTTCTTTAAATCAGACCTGACAGCCACAACTCCTCCCTCGAAATTTGCTAAGAAATAATCATATTGTCCAAAAAAATATTCGAATATACTAAGCTTTTTAACAGATTTAACTATCACAAAATTCTTCCCCATATCAGTATAAATTTCCAATTTACCAGAGGAGGGTCCTTCCAATTTGACTATACTGTTCGTGTTAAGGTTATAGATGCATGATTTAATTTTATAAAGTATCATTAAATTCTCAATGCATTTCTTACAGGCCTTGATTGTTAGTTTTGGTGATTTCTTGTACTCTCTATCTAAAGGAAAATATGCAACACCGTAAGAAATATTGTATTTGTGACTTGTTTCATTCTGGATTTTACGTAATTTTTTTATTATTATTAAGCTTTTCAGATCACTGAATTCCTCATCAAATGTGAAAACACTCAAAAGGGAGCTAGTTTTAAAGAATTCGCACTTTGGGCCGTTAGTGCAATAATCATCTTTACTCAGCATTATTGGAAAAGGTTCGTAGAAAAGAGGATTTTCAGACTCATGCATATTTACACTACACTTGGCCGTATCTATCAAGAAGAATATAGAAATGAATAAAAGATTAAGTATCATGCTGGGGCATTAATTCATCAATCCTTTATGCTAAAGGATTAAGGAGTAAAAACTAATTTGCTGTTTTTTTTACAAATTGATAATTTTATGATCAAAATGCACAGGTATAAAAACTATTGAATAGATAATTATCTAGGCTTGTGTTTTAAGATACATAAAATTACATACCAGAACAAGAATCAATAATTGACTATAGAATGTTTAATTGTAACATACTCTGATACTTCCTCAAAGCAAAGGCCTTATAGGAAGTTAAAGTTTATCCATCAGGGTATACTAACGAATTGGTTTGTTTGAAATAATGATAAAAGTATTTTCTCTTTATTGATGTATAGAATCTATTCCTAATCTCTCCAACTCCTGATTGACCTTCTTCAGAGTATCTTCTGGGCCGAACACCCGAACACCCCTTATTCTTTCATGATTATAGATTTCATAGTCATTTCCACCCTTTTCTACCATATCGCCAAAGAAGACAATAGTGGTCTCCTTAATATGACGTATGCAATAGGTTTTATCCCAGCCCTTAGGAAAAATGTCTATTGAAATTTGGCCTCCAATGCTACAAACAATATCAGTTAGAGGAATATACTGCTTATTATCATCATTGTCCATAGTCTTCAATTCCTTGTACAATTCTCCGACAAACTTCTCTCGACCCTTACATTTCTTATCCTCCTCAAAATATTCTTCTCTTTCCTGTTGGGTACAGTTTCTACCAATAATACTCACATTTATCATACTTCTTCTATTTTCCACAAAAACACCTCTTTTCTTACAATCAAGCTTGCTTAATAAAAAAAGGATTTTGTTGATTAATTTTGTATAGTTTTTCTCACCAATCTTTTCTATGAAAGAATCGTCTTTAATGAGCTCTGTATTTTTATAGAACTGGACGCCATTTTCGGGAAATGAATAGGTGAATAATTCCAGCACATCCTCACAAGACACGCTACTGTTATTGCTGGATTCTATTTGCTCTCTTTGCTTATTTAAATCGCTTCCACCCACAAAAGCTATGTTCACCTTCTTTTTTAACTCATGCAGCATAAACAAGATGCTTTCAGGTGCCTTCAGCCTACTTGGTGAAAGTGTACCATCGACATCGAATAAGAAAAGAATATCATTATTGGGACTGCTCGTCGATGGGATATCAGCTAACGAATTTTCATCAGTTCTGCCAGTACTCATAAGGGATAATAAACTTCATTTTAGATATTTAGAAAACTAATAATATGTGACGTAATAGAAATAAAGGCCAATAAAGTTAGACTGAGGGAATTAATGTTTTAAGCCAACAATATTTAATACCAACCATTCGTTGATCCATTCTATTTTGTTTGTTTCATTTATCCATTATATTTTTTTTATATTACCCTTCCATGGCCCAAGTAATAACTTCGTTTACAGCTCCCTTTAAAGTTGGCCAGTACCGAATATTCATAATTGATGGGGAAAAGATAAAAGTGACACTTACATTGAACAACTTTAAAACCAAGAACGATCACAATGGCGAAGGCAATCATGTTCTTCTGTATGTTGGCTTTGAATACTTGGGATATTCATACAGAGATATAAAGTATGATATAGAAATGAGTATAGCAGATAGCAGTGATAATCTTGATATTAAAACACATAGTAGTAATACCACCTCCTTTATTTATTCCTTTTCTCGCTATACTAACACGTTTGGTATAAATGTACCGTATTCTAGTCCAAATGTAGATGTGGTTATTCTTGATTTATCATTTAACTTACCCCCCTCTCAATCTCTCATAGGATTTGTAAATCTGGGAGCAACATGCTATATTAATTCCTTGTTGCAGACTTTTAGATACATGGATTCGTTCCAGAAAAGACTTAACTGCTCCAATGGGTATTACTCCACACTATTAAAGAGGTTGTACAGTGGTTGTAATACAAGTGATGGTATTATCTTCACTCCCAGTGAACTCATATATAATTTACCTTTCGTAAACTCAATTCATGAACATCAGGATGTCCATGAGTTTAGCAAGAAACTAATTGATAAACTGGAAATAGAATCGAAAGAATTGGTCAAAGGAGTATTGGAGGGAGTATCGGTTAGTGTAATAAAATCAAGTTGTGGTTGTACCAGTAAGAGGGAGGAAATATTTACAGACATGCAATTGTCTATAGAAAAGACCAATGGTGGTGGAAATGCTGATAACAATGTTATATCTGCCTTGAATTCCATTACTGTTCCCGAAAATATCGAGGGCTATTCTTGTGAGCAGCATGGTTCTCAATCGGCCACCAAACAAATATTTTATAAAGAATTACCCGAGTATGTATTTATTCTAATAAATAGATTTGTGATGGATTGGGAATATATGGAATATAAGAAGGATAATGGGAGGTTTATATATCCGGAACGGATCGATTTTAAAGATTATATGGTTGATAACGATTCTACTGATACCAATTCCAGAAATGATACTATCTATTCTCTATTCTCAGTGATTGTTCACTCCGGTTCTATTGATGAAGGCCATTTCTATTCATTTGTAAAAGTAAGAGATAAATTCTGCAAATTCAATGATGCATCAGTCAACGAAGCCAGTTATGGGGAAGTTTTTGATTGGAATTTTGGAGGTAGGGATGAAGTGAATGGAAAGAGAAAGGATTATTCAGCATATTATTTGGTATATAAGAGAATTGGTGAGGAAGCTGATTGCAATGTTGATAATAACATCCCTAGCAATGATACATCTGGTTGTAGTAATTTTAAAATTCCTATTAAATATGTGGATGACTCTTGCATTACTAATTATTATGGGCCAGGTATTTGTAATATTTCTGATACGGCATATTGTATGACGAATTATCATGAAGAGGAAATTGGAATATTTGACAATATAGAGCTATTCATCAATAGAAAAAACAATACCAACAATTTGGATGTGTATTATATAAGCAATGGTCAGTGTGAGGGGGATGATACCAATAAATCCAATCTTACCAGGGTTAAAGATACTTCTATCTATACACTTTTACAAAACAACATGATTTCCAGCACAATACCAAATATTATTCCCGGGACCATCTCAAAAATCATGTCAAATGCTTGTTTCTTTGCCTCACCAGTACATAAGTCAGGAAAGTTGGTTTTTTTAAAAATACTTCAGGATGATATTGTAAACTGTGCCGCACCAATCTCTTTAAAATCAATAGGAAGTGTAAGAATAAAGAGCATAGAAGAGTTAAAGGACTATAGTAAATATGATGAGTTTAATGTCTATAGAGAAAATAGCAATAAGAATGAATTTCCAGATGTAATCAGTTCACTTGATGGCATTGGTGCTGGAGATGTTTTAATTATTTCTAGAATCAATCCTGGAGGTATTTTGAAACAAGTTAGAAATGGTATGAATCTGTTTGTAAAAATTAATGATAGGAAATACAGCTTGTTTATAGAAAGAAGTATTACTTGTAACAAGGAATTATTAGAAAAAAAAATAAATGAAGAATATGGTAGGAGTGATATCAAAATAGTGGACGATGGTATGGAATCTCAAGCTGATACTTGTAATGCCGGAGATAACAGTAGTATTAATATTGAAAGCACTATTCCCATCCATAATGTGTCCAGTATAAGTGCCATTTGTCCTGTAACTTTCTCCACCTATTACGTAGGTGTTCTTAACAATCGAATAGATGTCAACTTCATAGATCATATCCATACATATCTACTAACCAACCCCAAGGTTGATGATATAGAATATATTTATAGAACAAGTAAAGTAGAGTGTATGAAGAGCAATATTATGGAAAATGTTAGAATCATTCATCTCTACAAAAAATGCTTGAATATAAAATTTTATAACCCCGGAGAATATTTATTGGAAAATGGGTTGATAGTAATTATGAAATATATTAAAAACACCATAAACGTAGCTTTCTTTGACTATAAGAATACCAATTTTGTTGATAACATTGGCAAAAGCGTCTCCTCTATTATCAACAACACATTTAGCACATGTATCGATATCATAAATTACCCATTTGTCATGGAAAATCCAGGATCTATTAAGAAATTTAGAGAAATTTATATGTGTACCAGTGAAATTATAAGATTTGATGGTCTAAATTATACAGTTTGCCAGATAGACGATGAAATTAATGATGAAGAGTATCTGTTGATAAGGAACTGTTAATGTATGGGATGTAAGTATTTTAAAAAGAATGAGTCAAAATAAACCATTTGATGAAAGATATCAAATATATGCAACAACAGGAGTTAGAGTTTTACTATATTGTGGAAAGTTAACGGTGCTTTAATAAAATCACGAAATTCAGTATTCGAAGTTTTGATTTCTTGTTTGTCAGCTTAAACGATCTAAATAATAAATAAATCTTTTGTCAAATTGGTTATAATTTTGGGATATTTGTACAATATATTTTTCACAGCTTTATTTCTAATTCATTGTATTAATGATCTATAGTATATAATTGGTATGAATAAGAAACAGATACCGATATTGAACCATGGTAGTTGATTAATCATAATCAAGGTGAAATATTAGTGCTTTTGGTTCTTGTTTTCAACTTATTATTCTATCATTGTTCTTCATTCGATCATAGATAACATAACCATTCCATTGTCTATGTAGTAGTGTCCATTTAATAAAAATAAGTTTATTGATAGGAATTTGATCAAATGATACTAACTTCAATACTTGTATTATTTAATGGCTGGCTAATATAACAGCTAATGATATACAATCAAATATTAGTTAGAACCATTCTGAACTTGAATAGTAATTGATTTTATTCTATTGATATTACACATTAACTTTGGTATACCAAAAACTAAATTGAGATCTCTTTATTTAATAAATTTATGGCCATATACTATGGAGTTTATTTCTGATTGATAATTTATTGTGGTTCATGTACATATTACTCAGTCCCATATATTCTCACGAATATATATTAAACACACTACTTCCAATAGATTTAAATTCATAAGAACTGTTAGCTTTTGTTCTACATCAAGGTGAATTTGATATGCTAATATCGAAAAGCATACAGTGGGTGTTATATTGCTCATTAATTCACTACTTTTGGTTCATAAAACTTAATCTTAACCAATCAAATAGTTATAGGAAAGGTATCTAATTTCTATAAGTTAAACTTTATTGCAATGTGCTCAGTCATAATGGTTGTTTTTCTTAATTGGATCAAAGATACTTTTCAGCATTCCAATCTATTTTCTAGTTAAGCATATTGCATAAACTTGTAATTGATTTAATATCATCAAAAATTACTTCTTGAGTTCAGTATAAACCTGCATTTGTATGAGTATATTCTGTATGGAAAGTAAGCTTTAAAATTACATTTTGTAAATTTGATCAGACAAGTATAATATTATTTTTACTTCCAACTATTCTTTAACCAATTCAATCATTAACATTGCTGTAATATACAATTTGGTTTGTCATCAGTTTTAATATGAAGAGATCATGAATTCTATACATGTGGTAATTTTTAAAACATATTTATCATATTACACAAATCCAATCCAATATTGTGTCTATAATTAATATCGAGTATATATTTCTTTCTATTAAAATGAATTCTAAACAAACTCTAGTAGGATATTTAGAAAAGTATTGGTAATTATAGATTAATTAGTGATAGTTGGTCTCAATTTGTTGTAAAAATTACAATAAGTTCAGTCTAAAATTCATTTTTGTTGAATCATTATAACTTTAAAACTATTATGTCAATATCATTAAATCTACTTACCACTATTGAATCAGTATATTTTATAATATATTTATCTTACAATAAATGAATCAATCATAAAATATTGTATTTAATATTCAAGTCGATGTATTTTGTCAACAATATATATCATATCTTGTGCATTTTTAGAGATTAATTTTTGAAAATAAACACATCAGATTTTTAAAACACTCTAAATGTTAATAGTATTTTCATTATTTATTATCGTATAATAATACATCTTTCCAAGTTATTTCAAAAACACTATATGGAGGTTGTGATTTTTGTAGGGATATCTTAGAGTACTAAGGTTTATTATAAAAGTAGATCATATTAAAATCGTGTTTTATGACTTGAATTCATATTAACAAAAGTGATAGATTGCATTCCATCCTGTGTATTTGTTTGCATTATATTATAGGCATATTGAGTTTGCCATAATAATTACTTTTGTGAATG